CGTTTCTCCTCAGCAAATTTTTTCTCAGTTTCGGTTTAATAGCCAAAATATCAACGTCACGAGTAACAAGTGCTTGCTCATAGGCTTCATTCAACATCACCAATTTTTCATAAGCTTCATTCTACATTAACAATAAACTGATAGTGAGCAAAAGTCACAAATAAGAGGATGACACATCCAAATCATCAACATTACCTTTTTTTGGACTCTTTTCTTCCCCAATGATTTTTCACCTGTAACTTCCTCCTCAACTTTAGCCTTCACCGTTGTAGGACCGGGCTTTATCTCCTCATGAACATACCTCGCCACATCTTGCTCTGGTAAGATGTGGATTGCGGCTTCCGATTTCTTCAAAATCATTGTAGTCTGCACCGAACCCACCTTCTTACCCTCCAATGTCCAATTTATCATTGGTGGCTTGGATTCATCTACTCTTGTTATCATTGGTGGCTTGGATTCATCTACTCTTGCCGGCTCTTTGATGTTAGAAATCTCATAATACCATATCTTCAAAAAAAGGCCACATTCAATCAATGAAGTATAACATATTAGATACAAATGTCATAGATAAATGGCAATAATCACTTACAAGAAGATAAACTCACACATTAACTACAACTATCATAAATCAGGGACAAATGTCACACATGGGTAACAAACGTCACATATGATTAGAATATATCACATGTAGAAGTCACACATGGGTAACAAACGTCACATATGATTAGAATATATCACATGTAGAAGACACTTATCACATATAACAAGATAATATCACATTTAATTGGAAATAATCTCATATAACAAGATAATATCACATACAAACTACAAATAAATATCACATTTAATTGGAAATAATCTCATATAACAAGATAATATCACATACAAACTACAAATAAATAGGAAAGTTAAACAATACAAATTAGATACAAATGTCACATATAAGTGTCATATATCACATGTAAAACGTAATGATCACAGATAAGGTGCAAATGCAACATATTACTTACAAATAACACATATAACTCACCGATAGCAAGGGAGCGCAGCCGATGAGATATGTTTGCCCCTTCTTCGCTATCTTCGCAGCCTTGAAAGAGTCCCACAATTCCGTGTAGATGATCGTCGCCCATGGCAAATTATCAACCATATCTATCCGAGCTATATATTTGAACATATGCCGGGGTGCATTCATTCTCGCGGTCAGAGTCCATATCATTGTGAGTTGATAGAGGATTTGAAGCATAACAAAATCAGAAACATCCGTCCTCTTTCTTGACTGAACCAATCTTTTTAATAGGGCCTTAAGGTAGTCTCGGCCACTCTTGTATTGCGATTGTTGTTTGTTGGAGAAGTATGTGTTCCATATCCTATTCTCCGTATCGCGGTTGCCTTCGGATTTCTCTCCTTCATCATTAAACCGGGTATGTTTACGCACCCAATTTACATCAAAAGTATACGCTTGTGGAGTCCTAGTTTGGCTATCCTTGAAAAAGAACTTCCCCGTGGCTAAATCCAGATGATCTAGAAGCAACATGATCGTAGCCTTGTCCGCTGGAATTGGTCCAAAACTAACATAATTTTTGAAATTGGAGGATCCATACGCCCTCCAATGTTCAGCCCTCATCCGTGGAGCAATTCCATCCATGAATGTACAATATCCACGTATATTGCAAGAAATTCTGATATCATGCGTACTGTAAAACATAACACAACAGATACTACTTCAACTTAGAGTTCTAATACGGCTAAAATCACAGTGCCAAACACATTAAATCGTCAAATGTGAACGATTGGGTTAATACTTACATCTCAGGCTTGCTCCTCGCTGATTCAGATGAGTGAGATGATGATGTCGACATCCCAGCGAGCGTCACTGTTCGGTTTGGCAGAGGTACTCCAGCGACTCGCTTGCAGTCGGGGGGCAGGTCTAATTACTTTCCACTCAAATCATAGGTTGCATCAGCTATCCCGACAGTACATAGTAGATATTCTGGGATCATCACCGGTCTAATTTTCAACCGTAGCTTTTCCATTTCACGGGGCCGCTTCAGCATATAATTTGGAGCAGCAAGTCTAAGCGTACGGGCATATGGCGACTCCCCCTGCTGCAGACTTTCAAGTGTCGCATCACCGTCCCTTCCGTCGAGGATCGCCTTAATAAAAAATACGCATGTATGCCACAATCATATCTGTAAAAATATAACATAACACTTTAATAGAGGGAGTATGTAACGGGGCGGTAACGAGAATAAATGGGAAGTTTACTAATATGTCACATAAATACAAAATGTCACGATAAATAGCGAATAGTCACCACTGCATACTCAACTGTCAAGTACATGCCGCAAAAGAGGTCAGTTGTAGTCCGCGAAATGATCACATCAAGTTATTTGCACCGACAATGGTCACTAGCCATAACAACAAGGCCATGACCGAATCTCATGGGTTATAGCTATAGAAACTTTACGAGCCTTTTTCGCGTTCGACAAGGACTGGCTTCATATATGGAAGCTCTGCAATAGTTGATCGGCTCTGATCGAACCACTCCACTCCCCTTATCTAAAAAAAAGCCTGGAATGGGTCATACCGCTCTAGCCATGCCTCAGGTCAGCGACGTATAATGTCTGCCATTGTTTTTTTGCCCCAAGTTGACCTCAAAGGAGCGATGCCCACATGGTCAGCGTGGACATATTGGAATTATCAACACATCCTCCTCCCTTCATCTATCATCTTCTTTATGTAATTTTTGTGACATTGCCGCTCATCCAAATTTGCAAGCAGGTTCAGGCAACCATATCTGGCTTGAAAAACAGAAAAGTACAGCAAGCAAGAAGAAAAGTCCAGAAAATGCAATATAACTCAAATTGGTATTGCATGATCGTCATTAATCACACTTAAAATACGAGTGCACAATAAGCGGTATTTTCTGTTTCGACGATCGGGATTTGATTGCGCGCTGGTGAGCCATGTTCGAAGGACTTGCAACGCAGGGGCTCTTCAATGATCTGCATGATTGCAAATGTAATTTAGTTTATTGTAATTGGCTGCAAAACGTTGATTAACACCGGCCCAACTTAACAAGAAAACTAACCTCTCCTTTGAATCTTCCACCACGTAGAAGATTCAGTAGGTATCATAAATGTCTGGCATCATAGTGTGGCCTTCACCTCAAAACGATACCGGTACTAAAATAGTGGAAGACAATCAATGGTATAATGCGACATGGATTCTAATCAGACACCAAACTGTCACGAGGAGAATACAAAATGTCACAGAAATAGGCGTAAATGTCACACGGAAAACACTATATGTCACATACAAAACTAAGATGGTTCACGAGGAAAAGACTAGTGATGTCACAGAAAACACTAATGTCACATACCAAACACTAAGATGTCACTAGGATTAACACTAAGTCATCATCAACACTATAATGTATACGATACATGTATACTGGTGAACGTCATCCATCAACACTAAATTCACATGAAAAGACACTAAGGGGTCCCAAAAAAGAAACAAAACACTAAGATGGTCACATGAAAATACTATGCTCACATGAAAACCACTAAAGTCCACATACAAACACTAAACTGCACATTAGAAAACATCTGAAATGTCACAATACAAAACACTAAATGTCACATACAACACTAAATGCACATACAAACAGTGGGGCTGAATGGTCACATAAACACAATACAATGTCAACACAACAAATACGTAAATAGCTCATCATACAAACATGCTGAAGTGGTCGACCAGGGAAAACACAGTAATATGTCACAAGAATAACATTTAATCATCACAGGAACAATAATCATAAATATCACGAGATAACACATTAATACTTACTTGTCACTTCAATAGTCAAGCAAATGGGTTGGAAGCCACTTGTTTCTCATCAAGCCACACACATCTGAGAATGTCCCTCAACGGTGAAATCTAATTTGGTAAAGCCCTTCGTTGATTCGGTTCCCGGTAGCCATGACCATCAAAGGTCTTGGTGACAGAGACAATGGCATATATCAAACCCGTCTCTAATAATTTTTCTTTTTTCCGATTTCAATTGTTTCCTCTTCAACTTTTTTCCCTTCATTCCAGAGTAGGTTCATGCAACAGATGTAACTCGTTACCCGAATGCGTGTGAAACAGCAAGTGGCCTTTACCCCCTCATCCTTCACGGCCCACTTGTCGTCGTCGTCTCCCACCGCACAACGACCACCTTTCTTCCCTTTTTCACTTCCCTTCTTTGCAATTCAGTTGGTAAGAGATTCATAAGAACTTGGGCTTCTTTGTTGTTCTTTGCGGCTCATTTGCCCGTTTTTTTTAGCCACGTAACATAATACTTTTAAGAGATATTCATCGGCCGCGCCTCGGACGCCTCTCACCTTCCCTTCGTTCTGTTTTGGGAATCATCCTCAGCAACTATACTCACATAGTGTATAAAGATCACCGGTGAATAAAATATATATCACAGGAATATTCAAATATATCACAAATAATAACACAAACATCACAATGTTACTGTATAACGTTACCATTATTCAGATAAAATGTCTACAAAGGACAAATGAAATGCACATTTGTAGACAATTGTCAGCATACAAACGGGGAACTATCACAAATAAAGCAGTAAACATGTCACAGGTGCATATAAGCAAATATCACAAAGAAACGTTACCTCCTAGTTCACTGCACCTAATGGCACTGGTTTGATCACCTTCTTTGACCTCCCTCAATCTCCCTTCACTTCATCTGTCTTATATGTGACATTTAGACCTTATATGTGACATTTAGACCTTATATGTGACTTATGGACCTTATATGTGACTTATGGACCTTATTTGTGACATTTAGACATTATTTGTGATATTTAGACCTTACATGTGATATTTGTACCTTATGTGTGACATTTGAGTATTACATGTGATATTTAGATATTGTTCATCATTTAACAAGTTATTTGTGATTTAACCAACATTTTTAGGTACCAAATGAAGGTGATGGAAACAAACCCAGGAAGTGTCTTCACCATTGAACAAGAAGACACGAGATTCAAACGTTTATTTGTGTCGTATGGTGCATGCATACAGGGGTTTCTCAAGGGATGTAGGCCATTGCTCTTTCTAGATGGGACTTTTCTGAAGGATCGCTACAAAGGGATCCTATTAGGTGCGACTGCTTATGATGGTAATCAAGGCATATTTCCACTCGCATTTTGCGTTTGTGACCAAGAAAATGAAGCAAATTGGAGTTGGTTTATTCAAGGATTGCGGTATATTTTGTACAATCGAACAGAACCGTACAATCCACCCCATCCTCTAGTGATTTTGTCAGATGCCGACAAAGGAATTAAACAATCTTTGAAAGATATATTTCCAGATGCGTACCACTCTAGATGTGTACTTCATCTCGTTGAGAATTATAAATTAAAGCTTAGAGAGATGGGTTTTGCCTCAAGTGCGGCTCAACGTATTTCAAAATTATTGGAGTTTGCTGCATACAAGTACACGGAAAGAGAATTTAAAGCTGTTTTACATCAGATTAGGATGACAGATCAAAGAGCTTACCAAGTAGCTCTAAGTTATGGACCAAGTAATTGGGCGAATTCCGTATTTCCTGGTATAAGGTATGTCAAATATCATTGCCTTTACTTGTGACATTATGCTTTTATATGAATTTGAGCTTTTAAAAGTCATTTGTGACCTTTACATGTCTCGTGTGGCAGTACGCCATTAACTGTGACACTTAGCCCTGCGCTGTGATCGTTAGCATTCTCCTGCGACATTTGATATTTATATGTGACGGATACGCTGTAATTTTCATTTTTTGAAATTATTGTTTGATTCACAGATATGGTCATATCACTTCCAACGTTGCTGAATCTTTCAACAGTTGGATTCGTGTGGCGAGAACACTTCCCATTTGTGATATGATGGATCACATTCGTGTACAAATTATGGAAAGAATGAATACTCGCCGCGTGATGGCAACAAATTGGAATAGCTATCTATGTCCAGAAGCGGAAAAAATCCTCCAAGAAAATGTCACCAAGGGAAGCACTCTTGAAGTATCGCATTCTACAGCTGAAATCTTTGAGGTATCATCACAAAAATCAGTACAAGTTGATTTGGATCACAAAACATGCACGTGTCGTGCATGGGATATATTGAGAATACCATGTAAACATGCGTGTGCTGCTATCAACTTTATGCATAGAGATGTGTACCAGTTTTGCGATTGGTTCATGACGACTGAAGCTTTTAAGAAAAGTTACGAACCAATTCTCTTTCCTGTTCCAAATTATGATAAGCCAGATGTAACGGATGAAACAGTTAGCATTCTTCCCCCAAAGACGACAAAGAGACGTGGAAGGAACAAGAATAGACGTATCAACAACAGATCTGAGAATAGACGTGCAATTAGATGCTCAAGATGTCACGCTGAAGGACATAACCGAGCCACATGCACTGAACCTATCCAAGATTAACGTTTCCTGGCAGATTGCGGACTCTTTTGTGATTATTTTCTGTTACATGTTACTTTTGCCGTTTTGTTGTGACATTTTGTACTTATATGTGACGTATTACATGTAAATGAAATTTATTACATTTTGGGCAACATTAACTACTTATATGTGACATATCACCTGTTCGTGTGACGTATTACCTGTTTAGACATATAGATAATTGCGCTATTTTGTTGCGACATTTACTAATTTTGCCTTTATGATATTCTGTGTGACATAACATCCCGTCCCTCGAGGACCCAACAACATCCTGATGGAAAAATATCAAACTGAGCAACATAACAGCACTACTTATATGTGACATAACATTCTATGTGACATTAACATCCTGATGAAAAAATACGCATGTAGAAGACAAAAAAAACTCTATAACCGAGCATCATAACAGCACCAAAATCTCACACAGAATATCAAACTGTGACATAAAAAGAGCAGAAGTCACACAGCATTCTAAAATGTCACACAGCAGACCCAAAAGTCACACACAGCACCAAGATCATGTTCATCTTTAATATGGTAAAGAAAAGATCACCAGGTCATATCCATCTATGTTAGTAAACTGGTTATCATTTACAAACAGCAGTTAAACAGCAGTTAAACGACCAACATCCATCACAGGACATCCAACAAATGAAACAATTACATCTAGAGTCTAATACTTCCACTCAATCATAGGTGCATCACTACCCCCGAAGTACAATAGATATTCTGGATCATCACTGTCTAATTTCAACCGTAGCTTTTTCCATTCACGCCCTTCACATATAATTTGAGCAGCAAGTCTAGCCCGTAGCATATGCGACTCCCTGTGCAAGACTTCAATGTCCATCACCTCCCTTCCCTCGAGGATCGCCTTAATGAAAAAATACGCATGTATGCCACAATCATATCTGTAAAAATATAACATAACACTTAATAGCAGGATATGTAACGGGTAACGAGAATAAATGGAAGTTACCTAATATGTCACATACAATATCAAAATGTCACATAATAGCAGCATAAGTCACACTGCATACTAAACTGTCACATAACATGCCCAAAAGTCACTTGTAGTCCGCAAATATCACATCAATATTTGCACCGACAATGTCACTAAGCCATACAACAAGCCATGCAACAATCTCATGGTTAAGTATAAGAAACTTACGAGCCTTTTTGCGTTCGACAAGGGACTGCTTCATATTGGAATGCTCTGAATGTCGACGCCTGATCGAAACCACTCACCATCCTATCTAAAAAAAGTTGGATGGTCAACATGTCTCTAGCCCATGCCTCGTGGTCAGCGGAGCTGTAATGTCTGCATTTTTTTTGCCCCAAGTTGACCTCAAGGACATGCCAATGGTCAGCGTGACATATTGGAATTATCAACACATCCTTCCCTTCATCTATATGCTTCTTTATGTAATTTTTATAGACATTGCGCTCATCCAAATTTGAAGCAGTTAGCAACCAAATCTGTTGAAAACAGAAAATACAGCAAGCAAAAGAAAGTCATATAAATGCAATATAACTCAAATTGTATTATGATCGTCATTACTCACACTAAAATACGACGTGACAATAGCGTATTTTCTTTCGACATGGGCATTTATTGGCAGCTTGAGCCATGTTCGAAGACTTGCAACCAGAGCTTCAATGATCTGATGATTGCAAATGTAATAAGTTATTGTAATTGTGCAAAACTTGATTAACACCGCAACTTAAACAAAAACTAACCTCATCCTTTAATCTTCCACCACGTAGAAGATGTAGCATATCATATCTGCATATAGTGTGGCCTTCAACCTCAAAACATAACCGACTACAAAATGTAGAAGACAATCAATGTATAAGCGACATATTCTAATCAACACCAAACTGTCACAGGAAAATACAAAATGTCACAGGAAAATAATAAATGTCACACGAAAACACTATATGTCACATACAAACACTAAATGTCACAGGAAAAGACTATATGTCACAGAAAAACACTATATGTCACATACAAACACTAAATGTCACAGGAAAACACTATATGTCACATACAAACACTAAATATCACATACATGTACTGAACGTCACATACAAACACTAAATGTCACATGAAAACACTAAGGGTCCCAAACAAACACTAAATGTCACATGAAAATACTATGTCACATGAAAACACTAAATGTCACATACAAACACTAAATGTCACATAAAAACACTGAATGTCACATACAAAACACTAAATGTCACATACAAACACTAAATGTCACATAAAAACACTGAATGTCACATACAAAACACTAAATGTCACATACAAACACTAAATGTCACATACAAACACTGAATGTCACATACAAACAATAAATGTCACAAACAAATACTAAATGTCACATACAAACACTGAATGTCACAGGAAAACACTATATGTCACAAGAATAACATTTAATATCACAGACCAAATATAAATATCACAGAATAACACTTAATACTTACTTGTCAACTTTCAATGTAAGAAAATGTTGAAGCCACTTGTTCTCATCAGCCAACACATCAGGAATGTCCTCAACGGTGAAATTATGGTAAAAGCCTTCGTTGATTGTTCCCGGTAGCCTGACATCAAAGTCTTGTGAAGAAGGAATGCCCATATTCAACGTCTCTAATAATTTTTTTTCCTCTTCACTTTTTTCCCTTTTCCATAGCTCTGCAACAGATGTACTCCTACCGAGGTGTGAAACAGCAAGTGGCTTCCCCTCATCCTTCTCCCCCTTGTCGTCGTCGTCTCCCACCACAACGACACCTTTCTTCCCTTTCCTTCCCTTCTTTGGCAATTCAGTTTGGAAGGGAGATTCTAAGAACTTGGGCTTCTTTGTTGTTCTTTGGCTCTTTGCCCGTAGCCCACTAACAAATACTTTTAAAGTATCATCGCCGCCCTCCCTCCTCTTCCTTCCCTTCTTCTTTTTGGGAACATCCTCAGCAACTTTTACATCACATAGCTGTATAAAGATCACAGTTAATGAATATATATCACAGGAAATATTCATATATCACAAATAATAACCAAACATCACATGTAAACTGTTTACGTCACATTATTAGATAAAATGTCACAAGAGACATATGAATGGCACAATTTGTAGACAATTGTCACATACCAAAGGGAACTATCACAAATAAGCAGTAAATGTCACATGCAATAAGCAAATATCACAAAAGAAAGTTACCTCCTGTTCACTGCCCATGGCCTGGGTTTGATCACCTTCTTTGCCTCCCTCCTCTCCCTTTCCTTCTTCTTTCTCTGCCTCAACTTTAGCCTGTATACCACTCACAGTTAATGAATATATATCACATAAATAAGACATGAATATATATCACAGGTAATAACCAAACATTACACTAAACTGTTTACGTCCCATTATTAGACAAAATGTCACAAGAGACATATGAATGTCACAATAGGCAGACAATTGTCACATACCAAAGGGAACTATCACAAATAAGCTGTAAATGTCACAGGAAAACAACAAATATCACAAAGGAGAGTTACCTCCTCCAGTTCAATGTCCATCTCTCGGGTTTGATCACCTTCACTCAATGCCTCATCTATTTGTGGCTGCATAGATGTAAAAACAATAACCAATTTCAATTCAGCAAATATTTTCTCAATAATTTTTCCCCCTCATGTGACACAGGACATAGGCTATTACCTCTCCTTTGTTTTGCCTTATACGTTTCTCCTCAGCAAATTTTTTCTCAGTTTCGGCTTTAATAGCCAAAATATCAACGCCGCGAGCAACAAGTGCTTGCTCATAGGCTTCATTCAACATCACCAATTTTTCATAAGCTTCGTCCTACATTAACAATAAACTGATAGTGAGCAAAAGTCACAAATAAGAGGATGACACATCCAAATCATCAACATTACCTCTTTTTGGACTCTTTTCTTCCCCAATGATTTTTTACCCCTAACTTCCTCCTCAACTTTAGCCTTCACTGTTGTAGGACTGGGCTTTATCTCCTCGTGAACATACCTCGCCACATCTTGCTCCGGTAAGATGTGGATTGCGGCTTCCGATTTCTTCAAAATCATTGTAGTCCGCACCGAACCCACCTTCTTACCCTCCAATGTCCAATTTATCATTGGAGGCTTGGATTCATCCACTCTTGCCGGCTCTTTGATGTTAGAAATCTCATAATACCATAGCTTCAAAAAAAGGCCACATTCAATCAATGAACATATTAGATACAAATGTCATAGATAAATGGCAATAATCACTTACAAGAAGATAAATTCACACATTAACTACAACTGTTACAAATCAGGGACAAATGTCACACATGGGTAACAAACGTCACATATGATTAGAATATATCACATGTAGAAGACACTTATCACATATAACAAGATAATATCACATTTAATTGGAAATAATCTCATATAACAAGATAATATCACATACAAACTACAAATAAATAGGAAACTTAAACAATACAAATTAGATACAAATGTCACATATAAATGTCATATATCACATGTAAAACGTAATGATCACAGATAAGGTGCAAATGCAACATATTACTTACAAATAACACATATAACTCACCGATAGCAAGGGAGCGCAGCCGATGAGATATGTCTGCCCCTTCTTCGCTATCTTCGCAGTCTTGAAAGAGTCCCACAATTCCTTGTAGATGATCGTCGCCCATGGCAAATTATCAACCATATCTATCCGAGCTATATATTTGAACATATGCCGGGGTGCATTCATTCTTGCGGTCGGAGTCCATATCATTGTGAGTTGATAGAGGATTTGAAGCATAACAAAATCAGAAACATCTGTCCTCTTTCTTGACTGAACCAATCTTTCCAATAGGGCCTCAAGGTAGTCTCGGCCACTCTTGTATTGGGATTGTTGTTTGTTGGAGAAGTATGTGTTCCATATCCTATTCTCTGTGTCGCGGTTGGCTTCGGGTTTATCTCCTTCATCATTAAACCGGGTATGTTTACGCACCCAATTTACATCAAAAGTATACGCTTGTGGAGTCCTAGTTTGGCTATCCTTGAAAAAGAACTTCCCCGTGGCTAAATCCAAATGATCTAGAAGCAACATAATCGTAGCCTTGTCCGCTGGAATTGGTCCAAAACTAACATAATTTTTGAAATTGGAGGATCCATACGCCCTCCAATGTTCAGCCCTCATCCGTGGAGTAATTCCATCCATAAATGTACAATATCCACGTATATTGCAAGAAATTCTGATATCATGCGTACTGTAAAACATAACACAACAGATACTACATCAACTTAGGGTTCTAATACGGCTAAAATCACAGTGCCAAACACATTAAATCGTCAAATGTGAACGATTGAGTTAATACTTATATCTCAGGCTTGCTCCTCGCTGATTCAAATGAGTGAGATGATGATGTCGACATCCCAGCGAGCGTCACTGTTCGGTTTGGCAGAGGTACTTCAGCGACTCGCTTGCGGTCGGGGGGGGGGGGGG